GGGGCCCTCCGGGTCAGCCTGGCTGGTGACGCGTGTGCCCGGACGGGACACGAGCCCTGCTCTGCGGGGTCGCGCTGCCCACCCTGAGCTGCCCGCGGGCTTGGAAGTGCAAGGCCGGGGACCCTCAGGCCCCAGGAAGCCAGTGGCCGCGGGTGCTGGCTGCGACTGAGGACGAGGGCGGGGGCAGGCTGGCCCTTCGGCGGGTGCTCATCTCCTCCTGCGAGGGTGCCTGCGTCCCAGTCCAGGCCGCCGGCCCTCCCGGCGCTGCAGTGGGGGGAAGCCCGTGGCCCAGGATACCCTGCCGCTCGCTGCTGGACGCGCGGGCCCGGCGCCACCGGCTTGTCAGGCGGCCCCCTTTTCTGCTGAAGTTCAAGGATGTTGAACTCGCCGAGCACGAGGCTGCGTCTAAAACAAAGCTGACGTGCGTCGGTGTGTGGGCTGGCGCTGCGGGCTGAGGCCGGTGCGCCGGGAGGGGTTGCTGGGCCCCCAGCTGGCCCGCTGGCCCCAGGCGCCGGGGCAGGCTCCCTGCCCAGAGCTGGTCCTCGGGTCCACTCTCCCCTGGGTGCTGCAGCCAGGGCTGTGGGTTTGCCTCAGGGCGCGTGGGGCCAGGCGCCCCTGGGGAGCCGCGGGGCCCCTCCCCTGGGCACAGACGCGGGCGGGAGGGAGGCTGCCTCCGGCCTCTGCCCGCAGCGCTGCAGGTCCTGGGAGTGACCTCCTGGCGCCCAGGAGGCTGTCGGGGCACACGGCAGTCTGGCCGGCGAGACCCGGGGCAGACGCGGGTCTCTAGGGGCTCGCGTTTCCCGCCTGCGCTGGCCTGCCCTCCCTCGGCCTTCCTGGTGCCAGTGTGGGTACCAGCCTGGGCCCGCGGCCGCCATCTCATGACAGCCCTGGGAAGTCGCTGCGGAAGCCGCGGGCCCGCACGGGCTGGGGCTCTGCCAGGAAGCAGCCGGGCGTCAGGCCCCGGGCCGCCCCTTCGCCTACACGCAGCGTGGCGGGGGCGGGCAGGACCCCCTGGCCCGGCCCGCAGGGCAGCAGAGACACCACCAGCCCCAGGCCCAGCAGGATACCCCTGAGGTGTGGGGCGGGGCCTGCCCGCCTGCCCCGTTGCCCTGAGCCTCTCAGGCTGTCCAGGGAGCTCGAGGCCCGGGCACAGGGCTCACAGCGCACCCCCCCCTTCGTGGGTGTCCCAGAAGGAAAGAGGCGGCGGGTCCGCAGCAGCCTCGCCGAGTGTCCAGGCTGCAGAGGGGCCGGGTGGGCAGGGCCCCGTGCCAAGGCCACCTGGTGTCCCCTACCTGCACTTCCCCGACCCCTGCGCTGCACCCCTGGGGCTTCCCGCGGCCGTCTCCCGCTGCCAGCTGGGCTCCCTGAGCCCTCTTCTCCCTGCAGGCACGTCGGGCCTGCCACAGGCTACGGTCCAGAGGGGGCTTGAAAGAGAAGGAGCTGGGGTAGAGGGTGCCCAAGGCCTGAGGGGAGGGGGGCAGTGGGGTGAGGGGGTGGTGGGGGAGGGCAGGCGGTGGGGGACAGCCGTGGAAGAGGGGAGGCAGTGGGAGGGTGGGTGTGGGGGAGGGCAGGCGGTGGGGGCGGCATGGGGTGCCCCCACCCACCAGCGCCTTCCTCAGACAAGGCCCAGTGAGTGGAGGGCAGCGCCTGCTGGCCAGCAGGAGGACAGAGGTGGCCCAGGCACGCCCATCTTCTCCCCACTCCGGGCCTCACTCTCCCCCGCTGTCACGGCAGGCTCTAGGTGGCGTCTCCCCATCTCGCCTCAGGCGTCTCCCCGGGGCGCGTCCCCGCGGACAGCCCCACGACCAGGCCGCGTCGCCTCACGCAGCGC